GCATCTTCCCGGTCTCAAAACTTGAAATAAATCAAGTCTCAAGCGCTGAACATGCTCAAGCAACTACGCAAGTTTCGACCAACTGCGGAGATGACTCTCAACGCAATCGCCCAAGGGACTTGCTAATTGGTGATGAATGTGGGCACTCGCTTTTTACACAAGTGTGAATTCATACAAACCCCAAGCAGATTCATCCGAGGTCCCGAAGAGCCCGCACAAGCTACTACGCTACAAAGAATTGCTTCTTCAAATAGCAAAGCCGCTCACACTGCGCCTCTCCCGTTCCTGCTTTGGACGTTTCCAACTCAGTTCTCTTTGATTCAGATGCTCAAGGCCATCATGTTCCCCAATGTCTTCCTACTAAGGTGAATCCGTTTTGATGCGGTTCCTCCCCTTTCAGCGATAAAGGTCACACGCCAAGCCATCAAAATCCGTCAAGCAACAGATATTAGGATATCCGTCGCTTTAGAGTCAGATGCTTTCGCTTCTTTCTCATAGATGCCGGTTGTCGTTTTCAGCATCATGTGGCTTTTTGGTGATAATGTGTGATTGTCAGCATTTTGTTCACATCATGACTATATCCTCTCACTCATGTGTTTGACTGGGCCGTGCATACTGGCGCCTGTACCCGGACTGGGACATGTCGGACGCACCACCCATGTCCGTCTGTCCGTGTTCCAAACTCAAACGCTGCCCTTTTTTTTTTGCTTTCTTTTCTTTTCTTTGATTTTGTTTCTTTTGTTTGCTTTGTTTTCTTTTGTTTCTCTCTCTCTCTCTCTCTCTCTCTCTCTCTCTCTCTCTCTCTCTCTCTCTCTCTCTCTCTCTCTCTCTCTCTCTCTCTCTTTCTTTCTCAATGCTAACCCTTACAACAACACTAGTCCCAACTGCCCCTTACTTCTTTGCACTCCGTCCCTATCGCACTGCAAAGAAATGGCTTGGTGTAACTGGCATTTTTCAGTTCGGTCATGAGTGAGCCATGGACTCTGTCGCAGACGCTGACGGCGACATTACTGCCAATTCTATCAAAGTAGCCGCATCACTGGTAAACGATCTTTGTGAGTATGGCGATGGCTTTGAGTTCGGCTCAAGCCAAGAGATGGTGCAGATGGTGCAGACCGTCTCGCCTTGCAAGGCCATGAGCAAGGACCTGGGTAGCTCTGCTGCAGATAAGCGAGATAATTGAGTCAAAAAAATGTCATGTTGGACTAACCCTTGGTGATTTGATGCATTCGGCCCCTGCTGACGTTTTATACAGCAATAAACCCCTTCAATAACAACTTTGCTTACAACATACCCCTAATCCGCTCACTACCCCTAATCCCTCGCCATCCCTAACCCTTCACCATTTCTAACCCCTCGCCATTTCTAACCCTTGACATCCCTCACTCTCACCATCCCTAACCCTTGTCTTCACCTACCCCCGCCAACATTTGTCA